GAGAAAAACTCATCCATATTATTATCATGGTATTTAATAAACCGACGTTGAAATTTCTTAATTGATTTGCCGTCATTCTCCCGTCATTCATGATATTAGACCATTTAACAGTTCTGTGAAATGTAACTGAGCCCCGCATGAAAACGGGGTCTTGGCGGTCTGTTATTGATGATTTAGAATGGAAATAATAGAACTTTTTACGGTAGCTTTGCTATTATATTACGCTGAAATTCTCAGATTCATCTTGGATGGTACTGTAATTGGCTATTATCAGCGAATAAGATGATTGCTACAGTTGCTTTTCTTGTGGCCGTAGCAAAAATATCCGATAGGTAGTAATGTTACCGATGATGATAAAATAATTTTGTCATATTACGTTCTGGCCCTATACCCACGTAGGGTTATGGTCGAAGAAGAAGAAGACGTTCAGAAGACGTTCTGCTATTTACATATTTCCTTAACTGAAACGTGTGGTTCGCATGCCGTAACATTACGTTTTATTTATTCGTTCATTATTTTAGCTGATGTAATGACTATGCCATCGTTATTAAATTATTTTCAGTATAAATTACTGTTGAGACCAAGTCTAGTCTCACCCTTGACGTCCGTAAACTGAAAGACGACCATTGAAGTAGATCTCTTTATACCAGAAAATCCAGACGAGTTTCCGTTCCCGTAAGCCAAGGATGTTGGTCAGAGTTAATTTTCTCCGAGTTGTGTTCGTTTACCGTTGCGAAGATCGTTTCCCATTTCCGGCTCCGAAGAGGGAAAAACCCATCGTCACACTATGTTTACGTGGAGCAGTTGTTTACAAACATCATTAGAAATCCAGTTAAAGTGCACCTAACCCCCAAAATTTTTTTTTCGCTAAAACGAATCTACTTGTTATTTAAAATAGTTCTGCGAAAAAAATTTTGGATTCCGTTAAATCCTCGATTTTCTGTGCCCAGACGAAATCTCGAAAATAGCTCCAAAACACCGCCATTTTGTTTCACGACCGAGTTTGAGGAGAATGGGTC